GTTCCCCTTTTCTTTGTTGAAGAGGGTCTGCACAGTCTTTCTGCATGTTCCACCATCTTACTGGAACCTGTATCTATAATTTACATAGTCCAATAGCACTCATCCCAGAGTGAACACCAGAATAACCTGTGGAAACTGGAGAATAATTCCTGGGGCCCATTCTAGGAAAGCCTGATCCCACCTCAGTAGAACTTCAGTAGGGTCATATGGAAGGAATATCTGTTATTTTTTGAGCAACACTGTTTTATTTTTATTTTATTTATTTATTTGGCTTTAATAAACAATTTTCCCACTGTTTGGGAGGCTAGAAGTCTGAATTCAGGGTGCAGGCTCCAGAAGGCTTTCCTTTTCTGTTAGCTCTGGAGGAAGGTCCTTGTCTCTCCTGAGCATCTACTCCTGGGTGATCTTCATGTGGCTTTATATCTCTCTTCCCCCATCTGCTTACTCCCTTGCTTGTTTAATCTCTTTTGTATCTCAAAAGAGACTGACTGAGCAAGAAAAGGGTTTCACACAAAAAAGGAAATATTCTTTGATGGTTACCAGGGGTAGGTGGGGAAGGGAGGGTAAATCACTAACTAGAGGATTAAGGCAAATAAAAAATCTTACAGCTCTATGTAGATATAAAAGCAGATCTTTGAACCAGTTCTTTCTGGTTCAGTCATGACTGACATAGCTAAATGGAATGGAATACATGTGTAAAATGTAGGTGAACGATAACAGTAACTGTAACAGAGAAAATTACAAGTCAACACCCTATGAGAAACTTAATCTCTCGCTTAGAAAACAAAGGCAGCTGCATATTGCCTAACAACCAAATCTCTTGACTGGCAGAGTCAGAAACACTGATGCCCCGCTCAACCATGCCTACCATGCTTTGAATGTATTTGAATCTATGCCATTCCCCACAGTCCTGCTACATTATGATCTCCTGTGCCAGGCTCCTGAAAGGGCTCACAACTCCTCTACTAAGTCTCCCATTCCAGGGCTTCAGTCGGTACTTTTTCCTATTCTGGTTACTGTTCCAGTTTTGCTTTCCTGGCCATGACTGAACCAGTTTGACCTGGTTTGATATCCTGCATGAAAATAGTTTAAAACATCAGTTATATAGCCAGAATTCAGAGAGCTATTAGCATAACCCTCCCCCCAAAAAAGAGACTGACTCAAGATCCCCCCTACACTAATCCTGCCTCATTAACATAACAAAGACAATCAGTTCCTAAATGGGATTATAACCACCACAGGCTAGGCTAGCATTTATAACACATATTTTTTTGAGGGTATAATTCAACCCTTAACACTCATATTTCCTCACACTGCACTGTTTTATATAAAAAAATGTATGTCTTTCTTACTTGGAGGGGGATCTCTGTAGGAGATCCTGGACAGAGTGGGAGATAGAAAGGCTGTGTATGCACAGGGAGATAGCTCAGGGGGCAGGAGTGCATGGAGGGTAGGACACAGGAAAGAGGTAACTATGGGGAAGAAGTGGGAGGAGAACTGCTGCACTGTGGGAAATTATAGTCAACATCATGAGACAAACTGTATGGGAGCTGCTGTATGAAAAGTGAATTTGTTCTGTAAACTTTCACCCAAATCACAATAAAAATTAAATAGATATAGATATAGATGTATGTATGTATGTACGTGTATCTTTCTTAAAATGAGAAATAGAGAAATATATTGAGTCTCCATACATGATCATGTACTTATTTTTGGAAATGAATAGTGGAGATTACAAGTACTATTAAAAAAAATGTGCTGATGATTTGGAGCAACACTATTTTAAACAAATAAATTTGGTGATTCTTCTTCAACACTGGGTGTGTGTGTGTACTTTTTTTAAAAAATTTTTTTGTGATTTAGGTGAAAAGTTTACAGAGCAAATTCATTTTCTATACATCAGTTCACACACATTTTGTTTCATGTCACTGACTGTAATCCCCACAATGTAACAGCTCTCTTCCCCTTTCCTCCCTGTAGCTACCTCTTCTGTGTCCTTCTTTCCTATGCATTCCTGCCCCTTGAGCTCTCTCTCTATGCACATACTAGCCTTCTGTTCTCTCATGACTGATTATTCTAAGGACTGTATCTATCTGGTATAAATGTTCACCCTACATGCCTGTCTATTGTTTGGCTAGAAGCCACAGGAGTGAGTTCAATTCCAGGCCTGAAGGGTAACTAGGAGCCATAGTCTCAGGGGGTCTCCCCAAGTAAACCTGGTCTTTTTTTCCTGACTTTGAGTTTTGTTTCACATTGTTCTCCCACTGTATCCAGTATCTCCTGCACGATCCCTTTCTGAGTGGTTGACAGTGAGTGGTAGCTGGGTACCATCTAATTCTTCTGGTCTCATGGCTGAGGTTCTCATGGTCCACTAGTCCCCTGGACTAATTGTTTCCATGTGTCTTTGGTTTTCTTCATTCTTCTTTGCTCTAACACTGGATATCTTGATACTGACATTCTTCGGCAAAGATTCTATCTCCATCACCACAAATACACTCATTCAGCAAATGTTTATATAGTGGCTACTACCTGCTGAACATACTGCTGTGTACTAGCAATGCAAAGTTAAATGTTGTTGTTGTTATGTGCCATGGAGTTGGACTCAACTCATAGTGAGTGACCTTTCCTTGGGTTTCTGAGGTGGTATCACTATGGAAATAGATTGCCCAACCTTCTTTCCAAGGAGCGGCTGGTGGGTTTGCACCACCAGTCTTCTGGTTAGCCAGTCAAATGCCTTAGCCACTACACTATCAGAGCTCCTAAAGTTAAATAAGGAAAAGCTATTTTTAAAGTTCACCATACAATAAGTGCTTTTTTAGGAAGAGAATGATAAGAAATAACAATTGAGCAGATGATATCATATGCAGTCAAATGATTCAACATCTATCTACTGTTTATTTGGTATTCAAGGCAGAGGAAAGTACTGGAAGGGTAAAGGGTGAGAAGGGTTTACTTGTGATACAGAAGAGCAGGTGCCACTTCAGAGCCACAGAATCATAATCAACATTCTAAGTTGTATGCACATTATAGTTTGAGATGCACTGATGAAGAATGATGACAGGGTTAGAAATAAACATATTCCAAAGGTAGCAGAACTGAGGATCAGTTATTAAAAGTAAAGAAAAAAAATTAAAGTTAAGTCTTGCAATAATAAATATTTAACGGAGAAAAAAACTGAAATGTTTTATCTCTAAACTTAGATGCTTTATAGGGTCTTAGAAAATCCTGGTAAGAAGTAATGTTAAGATTTATAGTAAGCTTTCAAAATGTTCAAACAGCCCAACTACAGCAGCAACTGGCAGGCAACAAAGCAGAATCACTGCTGCATCCCATCGATTTTTGGAGATTACAACAGAAGCACACCCATTCTCAAATGCTAGGCATACAATCGAGAGTGAGGGCGAAGGAAGAATAACCACTTCAAAATAAAGAATTTTCAAGAGTCAGTGCACTCCTTCTTATCTCTCCACAAGGAAGAAAGGAACTGAGAAAGAGTCACTCAAGAGGAAGAGTGAAGCCAAGTAAGATTTACAGATGAGAGACCCTAGGGAGCAGTGAATTTACGTTACTGGGTGAAGAACAACTCAGAAAAAGAGGGTAAGAATGGTTGTACAACTCGAAGAATTTACCATAATCATTGTCACAGAACTGCACCATGTGGAAATGGTCAAATTGGTATATGCCTTCCTGTGTATATTCTCAACAACAACAACAAAAGATTTACAGACGAGAGATGAGAGAAGATAACTATGTACATACAAAAATACTCAGAAAACTCATTCTGGGGAACAGGAATTTATTGGAGCAAACCAAAGTCCAACAAATTCTAAAGGCATCCAAAATGAATGAGATAGATGAAAATCCTCCCATTTTCACACACAAAAAAAAGCCTCCAATAAAGCTATATATATATTTTAAAAAACCTCACTGCTGTCGAGTTAATTCAACTCATAGCGATTCCTCCTTGAGCTTCCAAGGCATTATCTCTATGGAAGCAGATTGCCCAATCTTCCTTCCGAGGAGTGGCTAGTGGGTTTGAACTGCCAGCCTTCTGGTTAGCAGTCAAATATCTTTATCATACCAATGTAAACCTTGAGTGGATCCTGAATTTAAAAATTAAACAGCTATAAAGGAGATTTCTGGGATAACTGCGGCTGTTTTCTAAGAACTGTATACTAGATGTTACTAAAATAACGTTTTTCCTGGTGTGGTAATGGTGTTACAGTTATGTGCGACGGTGTTCTTGCTTTGGGGAGATGAAAGCTAAAGTATTTAGGCATAGTAGGGTAGAATGGCTGCAGCCTACTTTCAAAGGATTTGGCAATAAGGAAGAGGGTATGAAAACACACACACTACACAGTTATTTTTCCAAGAGTTAATCAGATGTGCACTGACCACTGGCAACAAATATTCAGAGTGGATTCAAAACTAATCCAACCCTTTTTCTGTCTTTTAAAGAGCTGGGGTGGGGGTGCCCATGAAACACAGTGAAGACTATGGGCCTATACCTGATGATTTATACACTTCCACACAAACTTACTGAGCACCTAGGATTGCCAGGTATTATACTCACTACTGTTCATATGGAATTTAAAGTCCAGCAGGAAAGGGAAAGACAAGTAACAAGTAATTCTGACTTAATGATGAATGCCTGTTAACAAAATGGCTCTAAGGAAGCACACAGTCTGTTCAGATTCTTCGAAGGTTTTGTCCACTCATTCAAAATGCATCTCCTGAACCTCTATTATATCTCAGGCTTTGGGTATATAGCAATGAGAAACCCAGTCTTGCACCTCACACAGGAACAAAAATATTAGAAGCTCTGGTGGCAAAGTGCCTAAGGCATTGACTACTAACCAGAAGGCTGGCGGTTCAAACTGACCAGCCACTCCTTAAAAGGAAGACTGGGCAATCTACTTCCATAGAGATACTGCCTCAGAAACCCAAGGAAGGGTCACTATGAGTCGGAACTGACTCAATGGTGGTGAGTTTGGTTTTTTGGTTTATGGCATTCATATAAGTTCCTGAACTGAGATCAACTATAATAGTGATCCCTTTTGGGACCTTCTGCTTAGAATAGAAATCCAGTCTCAGGTCACACCTGAACTCTCTGACCTAGTAATAATAATGTGCAAGTTCCACAGTTCTGTGAGACAAACTATCCAAGGTACTGAACAAGATAAACAGAAAACAGACTATGTGGGGTTGCCTCCTGGGAACATACAAATTAAATTTAAGAAGAAAAGAAAGAAATCTGTTCGAACGGGGCAGGACTGACCAGAGAGCACAGGTTCATCGCAGCTTAAGGAGGTGGTAGAGGGCTCCTGACCTAAGAACTATAGGATGCAAAAGAGAGATGGATGGTCAGAAGAGACCATGACCTAAAGAAGGATACCTTGCTTGGTAAAGTAGAGGGTCAGCGAAAAAGGAGAAAACCCTCAAAGAGATGGATTGACACAGTGGTTGCAATGATGGGCTCAGGTATAGCAAGGATTATGAGCATGGTACATGACTGGGCATTGTTTCGTTCTGTTGTACATAGGTTCGCTATGAGTCAGACCCAACTACACAGCATCTGAAAACAACAAACAAGAAGGAAGGGAAAAAATAGATGGGATATAATGAATAAAAACAGAATACAAATGAGGGAGTCAAGCTTAAAAG